GGAGAGAGCATCAGGCGGTATCAAAACTCGTTTCCGCACTGCTTCGATCTCTTAGCTCCCACAGGATCGTCGATTACTCACTCCATCGTCTCTCACATTCAGATCGGTAAACAGGGGGAAGAACAGGCCTCCATAAGGCATTCGGTTATCTAGTATTCGCGCGCCATCGGATTCGGGGTGGTGCCACTGATCTATTGAGACCTACTCTCTGCTCCACATATAGCTGTGTGGTGTTGTCATGGCCTTCTGTCCTCAGGTCTACATGAGTTGCGCTGAACCAGTTGTCTCATCCTTTTCTGGAGGGGGTTGACTGTATTATTCGTAGAAGATCATATCTGGCTCAGAAGCGACAGCATATATGTAAATGGGATGTACCTTCCCACCATGCATAACGAGACTATCTTATATACTTGTGAAATATCGTGATCCCTTGCCTCTCTTCACAACACTTCAAGCCCCACTGACCTTCTCTCTCTACCAGACAGTTTGCTTCTAATTGGTCCCATTCGGATGGTGGGTCTAGCAATCTCCTAAGGCGTCCGTATAGATTTTCATCCCAGCAATTCTACAAATGATCACTTTGTCAAAGATTGAAGTCACATAGCCATTTAATGCCAGAGACATGTTTCTTATGTTGACAGTCATTTCCTATATATTACCGGCCACATTGCAAAGTGAGCAACTACTCGGAGGAGTGCCTCCATCTGATCCATTTTTATGGGTAAGCAACATCAATAACTCCCAGAAGAGACTGATCTTTATTTTCCAAAGGAACCCGATTTAACAAATAACTAGGCATTCGAAAGTTGTTAAGGTATCTAACAATTTCCTAGACCTCTGATACATGTTGAACCACAGTAAAGTGATATGATTAAATTGCAGAAACTAGAAAATGTACTTTTCCAAACGGCCGCCTACTGACTCGTAAATGAAACAGTGGCAGAGAGAATATAACTGAAAGGCACAAGCTAGGTTTCTTCTTTCTTTCGATGTTACTCTCAAGGTAGATTGATTATTAAAATATATGTATGTATGTTGTATGTATGCAAATGAAGTAGTATTTTGATTGTTTGATTTCATCATAGTTTTTTAATCTAATAATGCTTTTATCTTGATTCGTGATCCGCTTTATGGTAGATTTTAGTTTTTGCATGTTATTTCATTAGATTGTCTAATAATGATGTACATCTGTTTGCTTGTTCGATTTAGTATAAGGAATTAATAGTGATTACATTACTTTGGAATATTGACACTCTTTATAAATAAAATAAAAAGAATAAAGAGGAAAAGAATAGATTGATTCGGATTTCTCACCTAAGTCGATAATAATAAATCAATAATCAGGCTTGTTTCTGTTGATTTGAAATTTTCTGAATTATATCTTTTTAGAAAAATTATTTATTTTTTTTTTTTCTCTTTTTATATATATTTTTCGATTTTTTGTTGAATAAATTTTATCGTAATTTTTTAAAATTTTTATTAAAGTACTACTTATCTGAAATATATTAAAAATAAATTAAATATTTGGTAATTTTTTTAAATTCCTAAAATATAAAATATAAAAAAATTCAATCCATCTTTTTTATATTATTGTATATTTATTAATTTTTAAAAATATATATTTTTAGATACAAGATGCATCTAAAAAAGTAAAAAAATTACTTAAAATTTAAAAAATATTCACTAAAAATAAAAAAAATACAAGAGATAAAAAATTCAATTTTTAACAATTTGAATCAAAAAAATTAAAATCAAACAAAATAATTATGATTCATCAACATGTTGTTTGAAAACACAATGATTAAATGGTGGTTTATGTTAAATGATATTTATTATATTCAGGCCTCGTTTGGGAACATACTTTTTTAATAATTTTTTGACTTTTTAACTAAAATATGATGTAAAAAAAATTAGTATGTTTTGGATAACTTTTTGATTTTTTACGAAAAGATGTGCAAAAAGTAGAGAGAAAATGAAATCTTTAACTTTTTTATATAGATTGTTGGTTTTTTGATTTTTTTAGTGACTTTTTAACTTTGAAACTAAAAAGTAATGTTGTCAAACGAGACCTTACATGTTATTTTGTATTTAACGGGATAATTTAGGTATTATATATATATATATATATTTGTGATTTTGTAGAGAGTAATTTTAATTTCTTTCTAAATACCGCTTTTGGTAAAACAAATTTTTTTTTCTCATCCTCCAAACCCTGTATGGACGGTTGAAACAAAACTTAATTTGTCTTTCTCACCATTTTTTCTTTATTTCCCACTATTACTCAACTTATTAATCATCTAAATAAGTGATGAGGAATTTCATTTTCTCCCTTTTTCTCCTTTTTTTTTTTTTCTTCTCACCAAACCCTTTAATCCAAATGGAGTGTAAGGGAATCAGAAGAAAAAATAGGAAGGATGAATCTTTGGTACAGGAATGGAAAAGAGTTAAAAATGAATTGACTCAACTTTTAAGTATTTCGGATCAATAACTTAAGTAGAGAGATTGAAGTGAATAAAAGGATAACACAGTGTACAAAACTTTCGCTTCCTACTAAAGCAGGATTTAGAGAGAGGTTTAAGTGAATAAAAGAACGACTCAATGCACGAGCCACCTACTTCTTTGCTAAAACAAGGTTTAGAGAGGGTAAGATGTACGCAATGTCATTCCATTTTTAGTGAGGTTGTTTTCATGAACTCAAAAACATTAGTTTAGGTTGGGCAAAGATTAAAGTGGAATAAGTACAGGTATTTTCATAGGATAGTTGTGGCGTAGAACATTTTCGGCGGCAAATAAGCCAAGTTACTCATGAGGAGCCCGAGCTAGTATTGTGTACTGCCTCGTTTAATTTCGCTTAGATTACTAGTAGTGAAGCTTGAGTTCACTGAGGCTTTTTTTTTTTTTTTTTTTTCTTTTAATTGTTTACAATTATTGTTCTTGTAGCAGTTGGTCTTCTACAACTTCCCATGATCCAATGCACTTTGTAAGGATGGACAATTGGATTCATGTTGATTGCTTCAAAAAATAAAGAGATAGGCCAAAAAGAATGTGTGTTAAGGTGGTGAAAGAAGACATGATTGGTTAAGCTAACATTTCTACCAAGTCTAAGAAAACTAGTGGTATGCCTTCTATGAAATAATAGTCACTGCATGTTTGTTGTTATAGCCTAGCTCTCAAGCTGTGAAAGTTTTTGTTTAGTGCTAGACTTTAATTTGATTGCCTTGCTTTGATGGCTTGCTCAGCCATCTTTGTAGTTTCCCTTGGGAATGTATTGAGCCTCATTGTATATTCTTATTTTTTGTATCAAACTTATGACTTAACCCCACCCCCCCAAAAAAAAAAAAAAAAAAACTTGATAAAGCTTAATTGCAAGAAAAATTCATGCAACCCACCTTAATTAGTTTGAATTTATGCGAAAATGTTGTGGTAGCTTGTGGTAGCTCTTCGTATTTACCTCATTGCTTTGACTATCATTCTTTTTAGCCTCTCTCTCACCTGTAACAGCTCCAAGATGAATCAAATTTCTTCTTGCTAGTGTACTCCTTGGTTTTCTCTGCGATGTGAAAAACCTTGGAGAAACTTTCTACCTTGTCTTTCTAAATTCTACATCTAATGTATTTGTGAATATGGTCATTTTATCTCCAGATAAATAAATTATCGATTAAGTATACATTGAGGATGTTTGAGAATCTCAATTGCGACTGATTACTTTTTTTATTTTTTTTATTTTTAACAGGCAAAAGTATCATGTGAAGTTCATGTAAATACTCGCAACCAAACAATTATCCGTCAGAATTGTTACCCCGAGGTGAGGCTCAGTTTTTATTTTAAAAAAAATTATTGAAAATAATCAACTAGAAAACTGATGTAATTCTAATCTTAAACACCATACGCGATCAATATAAAAATTTTCAGTCAGTTAGCACCCAAACTCTGTTATACTGACTCTAAATGTTTCTTTGGCCAGTGATCATACTTGGAGGGTGAAGCAGAGCTAAGCTAGAAGGTTCGATGGTGTCAGTGGTCTCTACATCTGTATACATTTAAACAGTTTCTGGTACGCGAAATCCAGAACGCGCATATCATATGATCATATCCCTGTTTCTGTAAAATATAAACATATTAAAAACTGTTGGAAAATCATTGATTGGATGTCATATATATTATATTTGTGTATATTATTATTTTTCCAGGAAAATATTCCATATGTTGTGCGAGAACAGTTTCCTGTTTGAGAAAATTACAGTAAGGTATTGAATGGCAATTGGGATAGAGAGTTGAAAGTGTGTATTATTCTTCTATTTTTATTTTATTATTATTATTAGTTTTTTTCTCTCCACAAACCCATCATTGTAAAAAATTTAAAAATCAACTTTTAACTTCCCAAAATAAGCCTTAACTTTCGCTTTACATAAGTTAAAATGGGATTTTTTTGGCTAAATAGCAACAAAAAAATAAAATAGATTTTTTAGTCTAAGAGCATCTCCAATGCACTAGGTATATGATACTTGTTAGTTAAAATGCCTAGTATGATTCACTTTTTTCAATTCCAATGTACTAGGCATATGATTAGGCATTTTGGCTCAACTCATATTCACTAGCTACATGTAGCTAGCCTTCAACGCTAGGCAAAATGTATTCAATCATTAGGATCATTTCCCTCCATCTTTGTTATTGACATGACATTCTATAAAATTAATAGTATTTAGATAAATAGCTAAAATAAAGAGCATGGTTGGAGTAAAAACATAAAACAGTTGATAGACAAAATAAAATATATACTTTATAGTAATATTTAGATAGGTAAAATGCCTACTACCGTTGGAGATGCTCTAATAAGACAAAATATCACATCTAAATTATAATCATTTCGTTTTTTTTTTCACAAAAAACAAAAACACTAAAAATCCTTTCACAAACAAAACTTTTTAACCCAAATTAAAATAACAAAAAAATTAAAAAATCAACCTACATCTTTGCGTCAAAATATATACATATGACAACTCCTTTGGATAACCTAGTTTAATCAAGTGAAATACTTATTATTACATAAAAAATTTCAAAGAATGATCTTTGAATGATTGAATAGTCATGATTGTCTGTATGTATACGTGTCTATTTGTAATGACGACAATGTGTTGCTCTTTGCTCTTCGTTTACCAAAAAAAAATATATATATATATTTGGAAAAATTAATCACATTCATAGAAGGCTTCGTCTGGGTGTATTATTACGTTTTGAGAATAATTAAAGATTTATAATTTTAAATTTATAAATTCATGAAGGACTCAAGGATTGATTGCAAAGCTTTGTGATTCATCGCTTCCTTCTGTTTCAGCAATAGAGGTTAAGATATTGAGTGTAAAATAACTGATATTATTATTGATTGCATTGTTGTATTGATTAATGTATATTACAAGCTATTATATAGGAGAGGATTTGGGAGTAGATGAGGTAGGTGAGTGGTGGTAGTGGATGGTAGTGGAGGTGGTGGGTGGTAGTGGAGATGGTAGGTGGAGTTGGTGGTGTGGTAATTTACACAATTTACAATTTACATTAACAGCCCCCCTCAAACTCAAGGAGGATAGGCACTAGCCAACTTGAGTTTGGAGAGCGTCACAAAACAGAAAAATAAACTGAAAAATAAAACAGGATAGGAGACACGGTATGGTCGTGTCAGACCGATGTAGCAGACAGTTTATGGGGTCATGTTCGACCGTTGTAGCAGGACAGTTTACGGGGTCATGTCGGGCCGTTGTAGAAGACAGTTTACGGGGTCATGTCGGACCGATGTAGAAGACAGTTTATGGAGTCATGTCGGACCGATGTAGAAGAGGTTGTGGTGGTGCACAGTGCGCCATGAGCGACTTATACATGATACTGTGTATAACCCCCCCTCAAACTCAAATAGGTGTGAAGAGAGAAACCTATTTGAGGGTGAAACAAAGGGATTGATAAAGCTGACCGGTGTAGAAGACACTGTATGAGTGTGTAGAGAGGCTGCCCAAAAAATATGACCGGAATCAATGTCGGGATAGTTTATGGGGTCATGTCGGATCGTTGTAGAAGAGGTTGTGGTGGTGCACCAAGGGGGCGACTTAGGGAGTGCGCCATGAGCGACTTATACATGATACTGTATATAATCCCCCCTCAAACTCAAATAGGTGTGAAGATAGAAACCTATTTGAGGTTGAAACAAAGGGATTGATAAAGCTGACCGGGGTAGAAGACACTGTATGAGTGGGTAGATAGGCGGCCCAAAAAAAATATACATGTAGATATATATTGAGCCCTCAAAAGGTGTGCCCGCACCCTCAAAAGGCGTGCCATCAAAAGGCGTGCCCAAATGCATCAAAAAGGCGTGCCATGAAAAGGCGTGCCAGTGTGTCGGGCGGCAAGAGGCGCGCGATGCGCGTGGCTGCCTCGGCTATTTAACCAAGACTGAACCTGAGGCTGAGGCTGAGGCTGAGACAAAAAAAACCTGCGAATTTCTCTGAAAAACTCTTCGTTGTACTGAGAGAGAGAGAGTCTGTAACACTGTTGTGCTGAGAGAGAGAGTCTGTAATACTCTGTGGCGAGAGAAAATGGCGTCGTCGTCCCGTGGTCTGCTTACTCTCTTTCCCGACCTCAACGAGTCAATAAGAGAGATAACTGGTGCGGTGGCCAGTGAACCGCAACCAAACACCTCTGTTTTTGCTCCATTGAACTTTCCGATGCGGTCGGTGGAGCAAAAAATGGCGATGCAAACTGATATTGAGGCTAATCAGTATACTCTGAAGTCATGCGTGGAAACCATGACGGCGGTCACAAATTTTTCGAACCGGCTGCAGAGTAGGACAAATGAGGTGCAGCAATTAAACGCCCAACTGGCTCTGCTCCAACGCATGTATAAGGATGCGCGAGCAGAGATAAGCGTGCTAAGGGCAGAAAACAAGGAGCTGAAGCGGAAGGCCACCGTGATGTTCCGATTTGGAGGGCCGCCATATGCTGCAGTGGAGGAGCAGGGAGTACTGATCATGCCCAGTGGAGTGGTAAACACGGAGGTAACACCGTCAAGAGCCGTCCAGGACGGAGGCAAAAAAAAGAGACCTGCAGCAGAGTAGAGAAGAAAAATCCCACTGTGGGTGTGGTTGGTTTGTTTGTGTTTGTTTGTTTGGGTTTAATTTTTGTTTTGTTTTGTTTTGTTTTTTTTTTTTTTTTTTTTTTTTTGTTTTTTTTGTTTTTGTTTTGATGTAGAATGGTGAGTGGGGTGAATCCCTGATATGAATAAAGCAAGTGTGTGGTGCAAACTCGAATGGTAGGTGTGGTAATGCAGAAAAATCAACTGGAATGAATGTAGTTTTTTTTTTTTTTTTTTTTTTTTTTTTTTTTTTTTTTTATTATATTAAAAAAAGTGTGGTGGGTATGTAAGGCTCAAAAAAGCACCCCTAAGAGACACGCCTAGGTGGGTGATGAATAAAAAAAAAAAAAACATAAAAAATAAATAAAAATAAAAACAAGAGGAAAAGGTGGAAATATTAAAAAAAGTGTGGTGGGTATGTGGGTAGTGGAAACATGGGTGGGAAATGGGTCACCAACTGAGCTTTATAATCATGAAATCTTGAATGAGCACAACACCCAAAACAAACCCATCTCAAAAGAGCTCTGTGTGCGGGGGTAGTAGCAAAGTGAATCAGATCCCACGGCGCGAGAGAGACGTAGGGTCGGATCCCACAGCGGTGACCTCGGCATCATTCGGCGACGGTTTGACTACGATGAGGGGATGGCGCGGTGAGATGGCGACGGTGAGCTCGCAGAGGTGAAAAAAAAAATAGAGGAGAGAGAAGAGAGGAGAGGAGAGAGAGAAGCGAAGAGTTTGTTTGCATGAAAGAGTCAGAGAGAACATGGGTTCTGTTTCTGATATCAATGGCCCGTTGCCTCAGCAGCAGATGACTGTAATTATTGGTTGCGGCGGCGGAGCTTGGGTTTGCCGGTGGAGCTTGGGTTGCGGTTGTTGTTATTGATGTCTTGCACTGGTGGTGGTTGCGGTTGGCCGGAGGTCTGGGTCGCCGGCGGACCAAACTGACGATAAAGACCGCGTTTGTCGAGCGGGTAGCGCTGCGGCTGTTGCGCGGCCCCGAGCTCCGGCGGCGGTACGGAGGCACTTTACAAGGCGGCGTCGGGGCCGAGGTCGACGGTGGTGGCTGCCGCGAGTGGCGACATGTGGGAAGAGAGAGAGAGAAAAGTTGATAAGTGGCGACATACTGTGGAAATCAACCATACCCATGAATCGGCTCTGCTTGGTTGCCGGTCGCCGGTCGCCGATGGTGGAGTGGCCGGTGGTGGAGCTGAAACCGGCGGAGCGGACACCACAGGAGGTGTGGTCGGAAATTGACCTCCAACGCCGGCGACGACAATGCAGATAAAGCTACAACATATGTGTTTTTGTGTGAACCGATGGAAAAGACAGAGGGATTGTAGAGAGTGTCCCTGTCTTCTTGTCTTTTTCAAGTTGATTCATGAGGGAAATAAGGAGCGAATTAGTGGTTTTTGGTACGTTCGCTCTGTGGGATCTTCAACCCTCGTTCCATCGCATACAATCGACAGTAGTAGGCGACTAGGGGTTCGTGTTTCTGCAACTCATCGGCTCGTTGAAGGTATGGTAGAAGAAGCTTCGCGGGCTCATTATCGTTCGCCATCGTTTTAGAGAGAGAAACAAGAGAGAGAGAGATGGTGCCGTGCAGTGAACCCAGCTCAAGAAATGCATGTCCATATCCCTCCCCGTGTGTGTGTCTTGGGAGAGAGAGAGCCCAAGTCAGCCCATGTCATAAACCCACCGAGAGTTTGTGCATGCGTGTAGCTGTGTGTTGTTTTTATTTTCAGCTCAGATGCTCTGTGTCGTCAAGGTGAAGTTCTGCCATGGAATTTGTTAGCAGCAGAGTGAATGTATGTGTAGAGGTCCGGCGGGCGGCCAAGGCGAGGCTGCCGCCCGCCGGTGAAGCGGAATTACTAGGTTGTCAACCTTGCTCTGATACCATG